AGAGTGTTTTCTACTGCATGGCTATAATTGAATTTCTGTGTATTAAATAAGTCCTACAGTACAAAATGCACTTGCTAAAAAATCTAAATGCACTTTTGTCTGAATCTCTCTGAAAGGTTACTACATAGAGATGAAGAGTTCAGAGTTTTTAAAACAGCTGCATTTTTTTATTTTTACAAGAGTAGTATCCTTTTATCTGTAACAAACAATACCTCTTTAAATATATCATTTTAGAATCCCTAAAACTACCGAGTAAAACAATGGTTCAACTGCCACCTTTTCCTATGCTGAAAGAATTATTTTGGTCCTATTAAAAACCTTAAAAAGCATTATTTTTTATGACTCTCTAAAACACACAGACATGCAGATATGAAGCTGCTGCTTGATAAAACATTTCATCCTAGTATTAAAGAGTTAAGCTGATGAGCAAGAAACAGTTATCCAGTCCAACTTTCCTGTATGAATTGTGGGGAATTGCTGCTGTTGGAACAGAAAGCAGTGTGAGGGCTCACAAGTAAATTTTCCAAGCAACATCTGTAGGTAATCTTTAGGTTCTTTCTAGAAGTGCTGCAGTTGTGCAGATGGTGTGACTACTTAAGGATTAAATGACAACAGAGAAAAGGATGCACATCTTGTAAATCATGTGTTTGGTTTCAGTTATCACTGCACCTGTGACCTATTAGGCATTAAAACAACCACCCACGCCTTTGACAGGAAAATATGTTGAAGAAAACAACACAACTTTTAAACATTTCTCTTAAAATGCATTCTTCCTTTCCTTAACGTTCACAAAAATTTTGAATTTTGGATCTTTAGAATACCCAGAAGCCCCTTTTCAAGTACAGTTCATTAAATCCTCATGTTTGTATATTCTTAGACTACTGCATCACAACGCTATGTCTGCCACTTCCTTGAATACCTCTTACACTAAACAATAAAACTGGTTTAGTATAATATCCTGTGAATTTAAACACATGAAAGGCAAGAAGTTAAAATTCTCATAACATTTATTGTTCCACTAACGGCATCTATATATTACTGTTATAGCTGAATTGTCTATTGAATGTATGTCATTTTATACAGAGAACAGACTTTTTTATTCC